ATACTTGAGCTAATGTCACCAAGCCTCAGCCCAGGCCTCACACACAGTCAGTGCTCCATAAGTGTGAGTCACTACTGTTGAGTATCATTTACAAAGATGAACAGAGAGCCGTTCCTTTTCCCAGAGCGACGGCTTCTCCCCAGTCCATCACGTCAATACCCTATGAGACACAGGCCAACTGGGTGGCACTATTGGGAGACACCCCCACCCAGCTGCTTCTCTTCCCTTCCCCATAGGCCTCCAGTCTCTCTCTGGTGCTCTGGAGGAAATACTGGCTCTGGGTCCTGAAGCCTGACTCCCTGTCTAGTGACCTTGGCCAAGTCCTCTGCCCTCACTGGGCCTCTGGCATACTGTAACAGCTGTTCCCAGGGCTGGTTGGTGCTGACTTCAGAGCTAGCAGACACAGTAGGACTATAAGAGTCCTCCTCTCAGACCCTAGGGTCAAGCAGGTGCATGAGGCAGCGTGCAGGGGACTCAGCATGTAAATCTCTGTAATTTCTCTTCCTATCACTCCTGTGGCACTAGAAGCTTTTGAAATGGATGCTGCAGTCTAGAGCGCACGCCTGCCACCTGAGTACTCCCCACAATCATGGCAGAGGCTCTTCTGGTCCCTGTGCCTGGGGTTTCAGCCTCAGGATTTAACTGAGGTCACACAGCTAGAGTCTCTGCACAGGAGCCGGGAGTGAGCTAAGTGTCTGCTCTGCTGGTCAGCTGGAGGGTAGTCTTCTACAGCCCAGCCCTGAGTGGTTCTATGCTAAGGTTCAAAGCCTGGTGTACAGTGTTGCAAAGGATCTTCCAGGGCTCAGGCCAAAGAAGCAAGGTGCCTTGCCCAAGGTCACATGGCAGCCTGAGACACTATGTCTCTGGACATCCCCAGAAAATACAGGAATGATAACGGCAAGGGCTTGAGAGGCTGGATGCCGAGTGCCTGGTGTTGGCCCGAGTGCTGTACATGCGTTATCTCAATCGCTTTTATGAGAAACTCCCTTGTGCAGGTATGGTGGGCTAATCCTGAACCCTCTGCCCGGTGTCACAAAGTGGGGAGACCTCTGAAGAGAACAGGGAGTATGAAGGAGTAAGATGTAGAGGGGACAAAGGGCATCACACTGGAAGTGGTTCCACCATAATACAGAAGAGTCTTCCATGCATCCTAGTCAACCTTCTTCCCACGCATGCTGAACCCAGAGGTTAGGCAACCTGGCTAATGAATGTCACAAAGTAAAACCCACCCAATCTGGACATGGTTAAGCAAAGTGTCTTCGTATAATGTCCCTATGCTAAATCTCATAGATCCTAACATTGGCTTATGGAGCTGGTCCTGAAGGCAACCCCGTATGTATCCCTAGGCAAATGAGCAGCTGTTGTTTGAGGAACCCCTATTTTCATAGGGCTCTGTATCAGGATAAGATGCTGCAGTGCTGCAAGTCACCAGCAGAGGGCACCACAAGCAGCACATGAGTTGAGCTCCTACTACACACTAGCTTTTTTCATCAAAATATGATGGGGGAAATTACATAACCCAAAAGAGGCAACAGAGGCCCAGAGATAAGCAGCAAGATGCTCCCAGATGGATACCAAAGAAACCAAATCACAAAACTCCAGTTAGAGTCAGGCACAGCGAACATCATTTCACTTCCTTGGGACTTGGTGTCCTGTTGTGAGGATGGAATGGTCACTCATGCAAAATACTTCAAACAGAGCCTAACATCTAGTGAGGGTCCTTTACTGATGTTGCAGAGGTACAGAGGAGTCAAATAAGTTGTCCAAGGTCACACAGTTATGGCCAGGAAGGTAACTCAGTATCAGAGTGTTTATCTTAGCAAGCACAAGGCCCTGGGCTCAGTTCCAAAGGTGGGGGTGGGGGGAACGACAGGACTGAGGTATGATCTGATGGACCAAGGTCACTGCACTGCTTCCTTTTCTGTTGCTATGATATGATAAAACACTATGAACGAGGAAACTTATCAAAGTTTATTTGGGCCCATGGCTCCAGAGAGATACAAGTTCATGACCGCAATGGCGGTGTGATGGCTGGAGTAGGAAGCTGAGCGCTTACATTTTCAATGGCAGGCATGAAGCAGAGAGAGCATTCTGGAAATGGCGTGAGGCGTGAAACCTCAAAGCCTGCTCTCCACAGACACACTTCACCAAGTCATACCTCCTAAACCTACCCAAACAGTGCCACCAACTGGGGCTGAAAATTCAGAAATCTAAGCCCACGGGAGACATCTCATTCAAACCACCACAGCCACACAGCTGGGACTGGTAACGGCACAGCCTCACGCAGGCAGACTGCTTCCCAAGTGATGCTTTTAGCCAGTATGTCGCCATCCATTACTAAGAGCATACACTGTGGTGGTCCCTGCCTGGCATAATGGCACACACCTTTAATCCCATCACTTAGGAGGCAGAGGCAAGTGGATCCCTGTGAGTTCTAGGCCAGTCTGCGCTACGTAATGAGTTCTAGGACAGCCAGAGCTACACAGTAATACCCTGTCTCGAAAATACAAGCAAACAAACAAATAACAAATAAGTAATGAACCATGCTGGTCACATGATCACATGACCACTGCCTACCCTCATTTACAGGGACCCAAGGCACAAGAGGGCAGATGACTAGCCCAAGGTCATTCTGCTAGTACCTGTTCTGGCGTCAAACTGCCCTTCCCTTTCCATGGCTGGGGCCCTGTGAGGCGCAGAACTGTGCCAAGAGCAGGCAGACAGGACAGCTGGGCTGCCGGGATGGTAAGCCAGGCTAACTGGTAAACACCTGATTACATTCACTTCACAAGCACTTACCGGGTACCATTGTTGGGGCCCTGTAGATGGGAGGGGCCCAGCCATTTCCTGTTCCTGGGGGTTCCCTAGGGTACAGGGAACACGCAGAGTGGGTTCTGCTCTTGGTTCCACCCCATGAGCAGGTCCCACCACTCTTGGTTTCCTTATCTGTCAGTAAGACATTTTTGAGAGGACTCAGAAGTGGCAGTAGAGCTCTCAGAAAAGAGCCTGGCACCCAGGACGTGCTCAGCAAGCAGCTCTGTTAGTTGCACCACGTGGGGAGGCTGAAGGAGGACTGGGTCTTGGAGTAACCACCAGATAAACAACCCAGCCCTTGACAAAGTGACAGACCGACTCCTGGCATGGGCAGTCTGACCTTCCAAGCTGAAAGCAGACGGGAGGGAGATGAGTGCTTCCAGGGTAGTCACCCCTACTCTTGAATTAAGTCTCTACCACTGCACCCTTGCTCCCGACCACAGAGTCCCTTACTGTTGAGTCACCCACTCTGACTCCCCAGTGATTTCTGTGTGCAGCAGCTCCTGTGCAGACCACACACAGGACAGAGAAATACAGACACAGACTAGGAGTGTTGGAAGTGGTTTGTCCAGATCTCAACCTGGGATCATCCCAGATGCGAGAAAAGGCAGAAGGCTGGAGATAGTCAGCCAGGCCCTTTAAGGGAAACGAAGCTGGCCAAAGTGCCCAGCCTGCCAGACATTGCTGGAATCACGCTTACAAAGCCCTCTTCCAGCTGCTCCTTCATGGGGGAAGCCCTGGGCAGAGGGGCGTTACAGGTCCCAGAGGTCAGAAGTAGAGGGGCAAATGGGAATGCCACTCCTCAGCTCCTCAGCTGTGAGAGCAGGAGAAAGGGCCTAACCTCCATTGTTCTCTGGAATCAAAGGACAATGGGGACACTTGGTAATTAAGTGTTGGATGATAAGTTTGCTCAGTGTCTGCCAGGAACTCTCTGAGGAGCCCAGCCCCCAGGCTCCTCAGGGAAAACACTAAGATCTGAAGAGGCCATGGGAGTCAGAGACAAATGGTGTGGCCCCTGCTCTCCAGAAGCCCCTCCAAGTCCCCTGAGAGAGCCTCACCCTGCCCACACAGCAGTCTCTCAAACACGTGACAGACAGGATTTCTGGTCCAGACTCCAGCAGAACAGGTGGAGAGTGAGCATCTCTCTCTCTCTCTCTCTCTCTCTCTCTCTCTCTCTCTCTCTCTGTCTCTCTCTCTCTCACACACACACACACACCAAGGGCTCTCTATCCTGGTGTAGTGATTAGACGCCACACTCTTGACTGGTAAGTTCTCTTGGAGGGTGGAGTCTAGTGGGGCTCTGATTCCTTTATGCAGCATTCACTCGTTATACTTACACACCTGCTGTGTGCCAGGCAGGGCGGAGTACACAGACCCAAGCCCAGAGAACTCGAGTGCAGTGTGGTGGGAGAGGCAGACAAACAAGCTTCATTGAAGCACTGTTGGAGCGGAAAGAAAAGAAGTGTAATTATAATGCTAACATTTACATAGCAATTATTGTGCACTCTCGATTTCTTCACATGTGTAATGGGAACTATATTTCCTATGATGATTGAGTTGGCCTTTGTAAAGGATAAAGTCCAGGCTGACAGACGGTAAGTGCTTAATACTTACATGTTTATCACTTTATATTGGGTTCTGTCAAAAACCCTGAAGTTGGGTGTCTACTTACAAACTCCATTTAAAGCAAACATTTTTTTTTCCCCAGACAGGGTTTCTCAGTAGCTATGGAGCCAGTCCTGGAACTCACTCTGTAGACCAGGTTGGCCTCGAACTCACAGAGATTCTCCTGCCTCTGCCTCCTGAGTGCTGGCATTAAAGGCGTGGGCCACCACCGCCCGGCCAAAGCAAACATTTTTAAAGATGGGGGTCTCGCTGCACTGCCTACACTGGCCTCAAATTCCTGAGCTCAGATGATTCTCCTATCTCTGAAATTCGATGAAGGCAAAAGCTGTTTTGTAGTATCGAATGCACTCAGGAGGCAGAGACGGGAGGATCTCTGTGAGTTAGATGCCAGCTTAATTAACTACAAAATAAGTTCCAGGTCAGCCGGGGCTACATGGTCCCCTAACAAAATATTAAAATCAAAAAAAAAAAAAAAACCCAGAGACTTATGTTCGCGCATGTTACAGAGGTGAAAAGGCAAAATAATTCTTGGGGTGGGTATGGGCATCTTTGGACTGCAGAGCTTCTGCAAGCTTAGATTGCTTGCTGCCCCCTGTGCCTCAATCTCTTCACCTAGAAAGGGAAAGGCTACTTCCAGCGCATTGTTGTGCACACTTGTGACAATGAAAGCCAAGTGGGCAGAGCCGAGCCAATCTCTTCACCAACAGAGGTTCACCCAGGAAGGCCTGGGTGGGCAGGCCGGCTGGGTGAGCATCGGTGCAAGGCGGCCTGCGGGGGACCCCACCCCCGCATCTCCCGCATCCTCACTCCCCTCCTTGTCACCCGTAGGTTATGTGGGGCACTGCCTGCCCCCCAGCGGCTACGATGGCGAGCAGAAGCCTGGGCTGGAGCTGGCGCCCGCCGAACCCGCGTACCCGGCCGCGGCGTCGGAAGAGTACAGCGATCCCGAGAGCCCGCAGTCCAGCCTGTCGGCGCGCTACTTCCGCGGGGAGGCGGCCGTGACCGACAGCTACTCCATGGACGCCTTCTTCATCTCCGACGGGCGCTCGCGGAGGCGCCGGGCCGGGGCTAGCGGGGACGCGGCAGGCGCGGGCGACGCCGGCGGCGGCGGCGGAGAGCGCGCGGGTCGCTCGGGGGCGACAGCGGGCGGCGGGCATCGGCACGCATGCGCAGAGTGCGGCAAGACGTACGCCACGTCGTCGAACCTGAGCCGCCACAAGCAGACGCACCGCAGCCTGGACAGCCAGCTGGCGCGCAAGTGCCCGACGTGCGGCAAGGCCTACGTGTCCATGCCCGCGCTCGCCATGCATGTGCTCACGCACAACCTGCGCCACAAGTGCGGCGTGTGCGGCAAGGCCTTCTCCCGGCCCTGGCTGCTCCAGGGCCACATGCGCTCGCACACCGGCGAGAAGCCCTTCGGCTGCGCGCACTGCGGCAAGGCCTTCGCCGACCGCTCCAACCTGCGCGCGCACATGCAGACGCACTCGGCCTTCAAGCATTACCGCTGCCGCCAGTGCGACAAGAGCTTCGCTCTCAAGTCCTACCTCCACAAGCACTGCGAGGCCGCATGCGTCAAGGCTGCCGAACCGCCGCCCCCCGCCGGCCCGGCCAGTTGAGCCTCCGCTACGCAGGGTGCCCGCAGAGGCTTCTCCCACCCCTCAGTCTAGCGTCTCCCCTGCCTGCACCCTCGGCGGGGTGAGGGTGAACCCCATCTTGACCCAGGATTTTCTTTTCGACCCCCACCAAGCCCACCACTCATTTCCTGCACCAGATCCCCCTTTGCGCCCACCCACATTGTCCATTCTGGCCACAACTCGGACCTTGACTCCAAGTCTGGCCTTTAAGGCTCCCAACTCAGGCACCAGGTCCGTACCTCTTCGGGTCCCTGCGCTGGAAGTTTCTCCGGCCCCGACTCTAAGCTGTGCTCCTTACTAGAGCTTTCTTCTCATTTCTCAGCTGAGTCATTCCTCTATTGGAGCCCTCATTCTAAACCCGAATGTACCCTTGACTTCCTGTCTGCCTCAGTTTCCCTGTCCACACAGTCCGATCCTTTGGGTCTCTCTGCTGAGTGTGTGTGTGTGTGTGTGTGTGTGTGTGTGTGTGTGTGTGTACGCGCGTGTCTATCCGAGAATCTAATCTTCACCCCTCCTGGAGTCCCCTGCCTGTCCACCCCTGAGCCCCTCGATGCTTAGGCCTTAGGTCCAGCCACTCACACGTCCTACCTGACACTTCCACCCTCCTTAGTCTTCCTGGATCTCATCAGCCATTCTACTCCCTGCTCTCTCCAGCTTCCCTCTAGTAGATCTCCATTCCTCAGTTTTCCTAGCTGGGAACAGACTTGGGAGGCAGCCCAGGGCTCTGCCCTCTCAGGTGACCCTTCTTACCCCAGGACAGTTCCTGCCTAGGCCTCAGGCAGGGAGCTGCGCCTTTCCAGGATTATCTGAGCACTTTCCCTCACCCCAGGACCACAGGTTCACCTCTGCCCCTCACCCATGGACCCTACCCCTCATCTGGCAGGGCCCCTTCAGCTATTTATTTGTGTATTTATTTATTTATCTATTTATTATTCTATTTAATCTCTTGGCTTCACCCAGGGATTGTCTGGCTTCCCCAGCTGGACTGGGAAGTCGAGGAGCAGGGTCAGCAAGGCCATAGCTCGCTGCTCCTCCCCTATGGGTCTGGGGAGAAGACCACCCTTATCAGAGGCCTGAACTCCTTAGGACGAGGCCTGGAGAAATGGGGGGAGGGGCGGGAGCGGAGCCTGCTGATCTTCAGCTGGCAGGGGAAGGGCCATCAGAAGGTCCTATTTCGGGGCAGGTCCCCGGCCTCTTGAGCCTTCCACTCCGGTCCCAGGAAGCCCTTCTGGACCCTCCTCCTTTGTTTCTTATTTATTCCTCTTTCAGAGGGACCCCAGGTTCCAGGGACCGACTGAGCCCCGGACCCCGCTGGGGCCTCTGGCCTGCTCCCGGGAGGAGTGCTCTCTCCCGGCCACGACTATGCAACTCTCCCGGGCAGAGGGGCCGGGACTGCCAGCCAGGCGCCTATTGGCCACCACTACCTCCTCCACCGCGCTTTTGCATGCCCGGGCGAGGACCGAAGCACACACCTCCGCGCGCACCGGCCCGGCCCCCTCTGCTTTAAGCACACGCCTCTACCCGCATCCCTCTGTGTCCTCTTTGTGGACAAGAGTCCTGGACACTCAGACCTCTTCCCCCTCCCCCTAGCCACAAAAGAGGGAGGAGACTGCAGACCCGCTCCAGGCCCCTCTCTGGGGCTTCCGAGGGATGGAGCTTCATTCTGCCCCAGGCTCCTGGAAGGGAGGCTGCAGAGATGGTGGGAGAGAGAGGGGTCACCAAAAGCAATTATGGAGGGTGCTGACCCTGTAAATAGGAACTTCTGACAGCAATAATTTCCCATGCATGCTAAGCCTTTGGCCCCTCCCTTGCCGTACCCTCCACTCATCCCCACCCCTATTCCTTTCCCCATCTTCAGCAGTATTACTTGTAACGCAATTCAGGGATATTAAAGGGACTTTGGCCACTCACCAGTGCCTCCAGACCTTTGACGGGGACCCGCGTTTAGACACCCCCCCCCGCCCCCAGTGCCTATAGGTTTTCCCTCCACACACCTTGGGAGGGGCGGTTGAGAGTGGAACAGTGTACTAATGTTCCAACAATGACAGTTATGGGACAGCCTTCCCCCAACACACACAGTCTTCAATGGTAGCACAGGCCGCGCGCGGTGACAGTCCTCATCCTCCCACCTGCAGCCTCTGTGACTACACCCCGTGCTGGTCTGTTGTCTATCCAGTCTGAGAACAAGCTCCATGCTAAATCAGGGGCTTAGACTCAAGCAGAAGGCAATTAATTTAAAGAATTAGCTGCTGAAAAGAGCCACAGGAAAAAATGGGGACCTCAGCTGGACCCCAGAACTTCATCGCAGAACGTCTGCCAGGACAGCTACTTCTTCCACAGTTAGGTGGCGGTGGTCAAGAACCCAGACTGAGGCCAAAGAAGGCAAACCTCTTGCGAGTTCAACCCAGTCTAGCCTGGTCTGCATAGTAAATTCCAGGCCAGCTAAGGCTGCATAGTAAGAACTTGTCAAAAGCAAAACAGCACCATAGATGCTGTCCAGGGATCAGAAGGCAACAACCACTGCCTTGATTGATAGCTCCATCTTTGATATGCTGACAGCCTGTATGTCACTACAGAGTTCAGGCTCTCCAAGGGCATCTTGAAAGCAACAAGAGTCAAATAAGAAAGTGGTCCCTGCACACTTCTGCCATCCAGATCCCAGGCAAGCATTCCACTGACCAAATTTAATTTATGGGCAACTTTGTTGCTGCCAGGAAGTCTAAGAGAAGAGGCTCCAACTTCTCAGCCCCACACTAGAGACCCTCTTAAAGAGAGGTGGAGATGGATGCTGGTGCCCTTCAGGCTTCTCCATCCCCATCACAGTGGTCCAGGATCCACCCCACCTCAATTAGCAGTTTGAGGGATATCTGTAGCCATCTTTCTTTTGGGCCACCAACCAGCTCCCAAATCATGACACGGAGACATAGTACTAGTTTTGAATGCTTGGTCTTAGCTTTTATTTTAATGTTTTTCTTTATCTACCTTTTGCTGTGGGGCTTTCTACCTTTCTTTCTGTTATGTCTTACTTTCTTGCTGTCCCCATGTCTGACTGGCAGCTGCCTGGCTTCTGGTCCCCCTAGTCTTCTCTTTCTCCTTCATTCTCTCCGCCTTCTCCTTGCCTAGATTCTCCTTCTATTTATTCTCTATGCCTGCCAGCCCCATCTATCCTTCTCCTGCCTAGCTATTGGCTGTTCAGCTTTTTTATTAGACCAATCAGGTGCCTTAGGCGGGCAAGGTGAAAAGAGGCAACACATCTTTACATAATTAAACACGCATCCTTACATTGTCAAGCAAATGCAGCATAAACAAATTAACACACCTCTACACAGTTAAAGTGCTATTCTGCAACATAAACAGAGGTGATGTATCTTTACATGGGTAAAGTAATTTTCACAACAGGTATCTTTAGTTGAAAGTAGTACCATCACATGGGAGGTTAAGAAACTAATATACAAACCAGTTCTGGCCAATGAGATTTAAAGAGAGGGCACAGGAAGCTTGTGGGATTCTTCACTACCTCCCCCATTTTAAAAGTTATAGCCAGTCTCTCTCCTCTTTACACATGAGCAGAAAAGGATCACAGATGGCTGTGAAGGGAACCAGCATTTGCATGAAGTCCATGCCACAAGTGGCAAAATAGGGACAGAAAAGCCTCCGTCCTTGAGGAAGCTGAAAATCGACCAAAGGGCCACTCTGAAACTTCATGGTTGGTGTACTGTGCAGAGGACGGCCATCTGTGCAGCAGGGAGCAGAGCCACACCAGACACAGAGTTTTCTGGAACTTCAGTCTAGGACTTTTAGACGTCTATATTGTTGGGGGGGTTGTTTTGTTTTTTTAGGGGGTACTGGTTTTTTGTTTTTTTGTTTGTTTGGTTTGTTTGGTTTGGTTTGGTTTTGGTTTTGGTTTTTTTTGAGACAAGGTTTCTCTGTATAGCTTTGGAGCCTGTCCTGGAACTCGCTCTTAGGCCAGGCTGGCATTAGATCTTCAAAAGTGTATGGCTGAGTAAGGCTCTTTACCCACAGACCAAGGCCCCTGACGGGCATATGGATAGAGTCTGCTTGTCATCATTCCCCCAGAGGCCTCAAGACTGAGGCCACTGGTTCTCTGTCATCTGGCTGCCGACCCAGCAACTTTGCTGACATAGCTAACGGCCCAGCGAAGGGGTCCAGATCCTCTTCCTGCAGTCGCTCGCCCCGTGTCTTCATTCCCATCCACATGCATGTAGTCCCCAGATAATTAGTTGAGTTTCCAACTCCTTTCTGTCTGAACTGCAAGTCCACATCAGCCCGAGGAGTCCTCCACTTAATACCTGAAACACCAGAGACCAACTGGAGTCTAAAACCAGGACTCAAGTCCCCTCCTCTTTCCTGTCTCTACAAATGGCTGCAGACACAAAACCCAGAAGTTGCTTTATCCATATCACCTGCTACCCTACGGTCCTGTCTATCATCAGCCCCTGGGCCCTTTTCCTCTCCACGTTCTCAGTCTCCACCTAATTGGGTCTCTGGACCAGCCTCTCATTGGTCTCCTGGGATCTACTGTGCCTCCTTAACCTCCCCTCCTCAACACAACAGCCGTGGACATGTTTTCCAAAGTGCAGGTCTCCTCTCTACCTGTCGTTGTTTGGGCAAATAAACTACACAACTATTTATTTCCCAAGATGGGCATGGTGGCTGTTGCTGGTAATCCCAACACTTGGGAGGCTGATGTAGGAGGACTGTCCAAAGTTCAAGGCCAGCCTAGGCTATGGTGCGTTCTGGGTCAGCCCAAGTTATAGAGTAAGGGCATTGCAGCATGTGCCTGTAACCCCAGTGCTGGTGTGTGTGGAGGGGACAAGACAGGGGCTCACTGCTCAGCCAGTCTACCTCAAATGGCTACAAACTCAGTGAGACAATCTCAAAGCAGTAAAGAAGAGAAAAAATAAAAGAAGACACGTGAACTTGGCCCTTGGCCTCCACTCAGAGGTGAGCCTAACTGCTCACATACAGTTCCGGATGTCTAAGGCCAGCCTGGTCTACAGAGCAAGTTCCAGGACAGGCTCCAAAGCTACACAGAAAAATCCTGTCTCAAAAAACTAAAACCAGGGGCTGGAGAGATGGCTCAGTGGTTAAGAGCATTGCCTGCTCTTCCAAAGGTCCTGAGTTCAATTCCCAGCAACCACATGATGGCTCACAACCATCTGTTATAAGGTCTGGTGCCCTCTTCTGGCCTTCGGCATACACACAGATAGACTATTGTATACATAATAAATAATAAATAAATATTTTAAAAAAAAGACCCACTAATACCACTTAAAAAAAACTAAAACCAAACCAAACCAAACAAACAAAACAACAACAACAACAAAAAAAACAATTTTAGANATACCACTTAAAAAAAAACTAAAACCAAACCAAACCAAACAAACAAAACAAAACAAAACAACAACAACAACAAAAAAAATTTTAGAGGTCTAGAATTCCTAGATTGAAGTTTCAGAAAATTCTGCATCTGGTGTGGCTCTGCTTCCTGCTGCACAGATGGTTATCCTCTGCCTCAGTCACATGGTGCAGGGACAGTGGAGCTTTCCAGGGACTTTGTGCATGTGCAAGATGTGCAAGAGCGTGAAGGCTGGAGCCCAGGAGGGCTGGAGCCCAGGAGGGCTGGAGAGATGGCTCAGCACTTCAATTCCCAGCACCCACACAGTGGCTCACAAACATCCATAATGAGATCTGGCACCCTCTTCTGGCCTGCAGGCATATATGCAGGCAGAACACTGCACATAATAATTAAATAAATCTTTTATTTATTTATTTATTTTTAATACAATATTCTATGCAGGCCAGAAGAGGGCACCAGACCTCATTACAGATGGTTGTGAGCCACCATGTGGTTGCTGGGATTTGAACTCAGGACCTTTGGAAGAGCAGGCAATGCTCTTAACCACTGAGCCATCTCTCCAGCCCTTAAATAATTCTTTAAAAAGAAAAAAAAAAAGGACAGAGCCTAGGGCCTCAAACACAATTGCCTTGCAGGTTAATCTCTGCCCTCAGCTCCCAGGGATTCTCCTAAGGGCACTAATCCCATGGTGAAGGCTCTGTTCTCATGATCTATAATCCTCTCCCAAAGGTATCACCTCCTAAAACCATGCATTTGGGATTAGGGTTTGTAGGTGGAGATTTTCTGTGTCCTGGAAGACGCTCTCAAATAACTACAAGAGAGTTAATATAAATTATAAATGCTTAGGCACCAGTTCCAGAACAGGCTCCAAAACCTACAGAGAGACCCTATCTTGAAAACAAAACAAAACAAAACAAAACAAAAGAAACAAACAAAAAGCTCAGCCAATAGCTCAGTCTTTTTATTAACTAGCTCTTACAACTTTAGCTAACCCATTTCTATTAATCTATGTAGTGCTGCGTAGCTCATGGTTTTACCTGTCCTCCAGCATGTCTTG